TTCATGTTATGAGCCTTTTTCTTGTGCACACTCAATACTTGTGATGTGATGTGAAACGTTTTAATTTTGCACAAAACAAATTTTTGAAAATTTCCCATGTCAGTAAAAATCACGAAATTTTGACAAAGTAAAAATTTTTTTATTTTTTTTTTTATGTGAAAATGATAAGTGTTATCTTTTTACCATATAAATCATATTCAGTATGTGGACCTTATTAAAAGGGTGGTCATCATCTCACCGCATCTTGTTTGATATGAGCAATGTAACACATGTAATATACTAGCAGCCTGTCGGCTGATATAGCTCCGCTGTTTGTGATGCATGCTCTGAAAGCAATGACGAAGCAAAGAAATTGGACAAGCAGTTTTCAAGGAGAAGTCAAAAATATAATTTTTTACTGATAATGACAAAAATATTCATGAAATTGGAGAAATGAAGATATCATCACGAAATGAACAAATCTGAGAGAGGTTTACCTAAGGTACCAACATACCAAGTATCAAAGCAGTTGGGCTAGCGGTTTTCAAGAAGAAGTCGAAAATAGCATTTTTGATCAAAAATGACAAAAATATTCGCTATAAATAAGACAATTGAACATATCAACATGAAATGAACAAATCTGAGAGAGAACCACCCAAGGTACCTTCCTAGAAAGTTTCACAGCTATACAGTTTGTGGTTTTTTTAGAAGAAGTTGAAAATGTAAAGTTGATGACGACGAAGACGGACAATCAGTAATACTATAAGCTCTGCTCGACTTGGTCGACAGCAGAGCTAATAATGGTTTGTTTACATGCTGTGTGACGACCATCGTCTTCAATCAAAGTTCTCCAAAAAGTCACATTCGTTGGTGAATGATCTCAGTAAGTGGATGTGACCTCCCATATTGAGTACGTAGTACAGTCTCTAGAATAAATTCCTTTCTGGTGTTCAACTCTAGATAGGATTTGAACTTTGAACTCTATATTGATCCAAAACTGCAACCGTCGAATGGTTGGCAAAACAGGAAAAGCTGATTTTATTCAGAAATATTTGTTGTGAGAACATGGCATTACAGTAAAATACTTTTTTTTAGCTGGAATTAATGTTTGCTGAAAAGTCTTTTTGGGTGTTTTGTATGGAATTTATTTTCACTGATTTTTGAGGAGTTGAATGTAAAATATAAAAAAAAAGGTATATTCGCTGGATTTATTTTCACTGAATCATCCCTTATGTGAAAATAGCAAAAATAAATTCCATGCAGAAATAAAATTTTTTACAGTAATAATTAATTAACATAGTAATTACTAATTAGCATACCTTAGAGAGAGGCTAGATCGTCTTCCTAAGCCGATAGCTCCCAATAAACCAGCTGATGTTTTGTCTTCTCCCAAGACATGCAACGCTGGCGCCAGATTATTAATCGTACGTATCACGTACTGATGCGGAGCACCGTAATCTACTTGTCGTAAACACAGTTCAATCGCTTTAGACCACCACAGTAAAAGTTTCGCTTCATTCACGTCACTGGAGGAAATAAATACCGAACGTTAGCATTTTCAACACCAGAGGGCAGTGCATAGTCACTAGAGGGTGTTCTTCAGAATGACTCACCATGGTTTAGCAGCAGTAGTCCAGTCCACAATCTTTGTCAATATATTCAATTCATCATTCAGACTTTGACATAATGGCAATCGTTGCAAGATGTATGCATATAACGTGAGGTAGGCGCCTTGTTTCATGCATTCCTCCAAAAATTCATCATGAGTCAACTCCGGTACTTGTAATTTATCAGTCACATGACTCCATCCACCAAACTGACTCAGATCCATACCTTAAATAGAATACAATGAGAAAATTATGAAATAACATAAAGTAAGAATCAGCCTCTTGGCTGAGATAGCTCCGCTGTTAGCAATGCACATTTCAATTGAACAACAGAAGATATCATCATGAAATGAGCAAATCTGAGAGAGGTCCACATGAGGTACCTATAGCGGTATGTATAATATCAAAGCAATCAGACCTGTGGTTTTAATAAGAAGTCGAAAATATCACTTTTTACCAAAAATGACCAAAATATTCATCATTAGAGAATTAGAGATATCATCACAAAATGAACAAATGTAAAAGAGG